ATAATAATAATAATAATAATAATAATAATAATAATAATAATATAACCATGGGAACCGGAAGGAGAGGGGCTCCCACTCAATCCGGCATGCTCAGCTACTGAAGATTTTCCCAGCCTAGGCCTTGCACAGGTGTACAAGCCCACCTGTGTGATACACAGAGACCATGAAGAACTGTAGGCTCCCCACAGAAAGTCAGGGCATAGATTGGTCCTATATAACATGCATTTTCAAAATAAAAATATTAAAAAAACATATAGAGGTGGAGGGAGAATCAACATGTCATAAAAAAACAAAATAAAGTTGGCACAACAGAATCTCCTTTATCTATGTACTTACTGAATTAGTATTTTGCCTTTCTGCTTCTAAATAATGCAGTTTGCTGATTTACGGCCAGTGAGCAGAAACAAACTAATGAACAAAAGCACAATACTAAAACTAAGCAATGAAAAGACAACAGGATAGCATTATACAAGCAGCTCCTGGGTTATGAATGAATTCCATTCCTGAAAAAACAGAAATTTGTCTTTAGGTCAAATTTGTAAGTTGGATTACATATAGTCAGCCTTCCACATGGGAGCTAGAGGCACAGGACCCCACTGCAAGTGGAAAAACCATGAATATTTCTAGGTCCCCTCACAGCCCAAACTGACTAGTGCCACATCTTTGCACCAAGTAAATGTCAGAGAGATTTTTCTCTCCAGATGGGCAGAGTAGGAAGGCTTTGCTTTGGACACCTCTCCTGCCCTCCCACCCCCGCTTCTGCTTCTTCTCTATGGTGATGATGATTTCCTGCAATATTTTTTCAAAATAAATAGGCATTTTGGCAGCTTGTTCATAAGTATGGGACTTGGGGACTGCCTGTACTTGAAGGAGTCTCAAAAGAATAAAATGCCTGCCAAGATCAAAAGGTGAAGTAAGAACTTGATCAGGGAGAAAGTTGGTCAGTCTTTTGAAACTGACCCATGTTTCAAGTTCTTTGTAACTCTGATTTAAGCTAAGGGATTTTATTATATCTAGCAGTTTATAAATATTACAAATAAGCATACTATGAGTAGATCTAAAGCAGCATTAAAAATAGGGAACTTAGAAGCTATCAGAATTGCTCTGGCCTTACTTAGGCACCAACTGCCAACAACGATACACAGAAGCTGAACTTCTGATGGTGTGTCATCTTGTAATCCAGCTCAGGAAAGAGAAGACAACTTTGGGAATGTCAGTACACAAGATCTAAGAAAGTTTCAAATTAATATCTTGGATGGATAATCTGAAGAGGGGGACTAGAAACTTTCCAGAAAATGGCATTTGTAATACACATTCTGCAAAGAATGCGCAGTGAGGAATCATGTGAAGCATTTGGCAAGGCGACAGTAACAGCAAGCGAAATGTTTCCATGATGATTCGTGGCACCACTGTCCTTCTGGGATCTGCTGAATTTTGCAGTTTAAGAACATCTTCTCATTTACATTATGTGGATAGTTTAAAATAGCAAAGGGAATCACACCATACAGATAAAAACACACATGTTCTGCGTTAGTTGCAGCCAGTCCTCACCCTAGTCTTGTCTGCACATGTGATGGTAAAGACTTGGATCTTTTCACATACCAAGATCTCCATAAAGCACCCACATGGTACAGGCAGGCGCACTGGCAAATGTCCCAGCATCAAAACAAAAAAGTTTTTCCAGAATCCAGACTCACACAGCTATCTAGAATTCCTGTAAGTTGAAATGATATCCACTTGTGTTTTTTTAGGCATCAGGCATTTTGGGCACTCATTTCTGAGGTCTTACTTTGGCACATGATCATTATTAATGCATTTATTTAATTTTTACCCTCCGGTTTGGATCCCTCTAGATGAGATCCAACACGTAGCTTACAATAAAAATCAGAAAAGAATAAATGCAGAAATACCTTCATGTGTCTATTTGGGTAAGATTTGTAGTCTTACCAGGAGCTCTTTTTTTGAGGCACATAAAGACAAAAAAGCCTCGCTCCATTTTCAATACCAATTTAGCTCTTCACAGGTTTTGCCTCAGCCCAGCATTTCTTTCAAATGTGGCAATTTAATTGAATTTGATGAGCTGCATATTTTGTACATCGAGTTCATTCTTGCAGAAATCAATTATCCTGTGGTAGTTTTAGTACCATTAAATTGATTAATACCAGTCTAAAAAGAAGAAAACATGAAAACACAAAACAGCTGTGTTTATTCATTTTAGATTTATAGCTTGTCCCTTTCTGAAGGTTTATCAGGGCAGAAAACCTTGTGAGGCAGGTCACTTATTCCCATTTCTACATATTAAGATCTGAAGATGAGACCTGAATGGGCCACAAACAGTTTGCACTGGCATATGAATCCACACCACATTGATCCAAATTACAAAATCAAAGTTAGAGCACTAATTTAGATAAATAATGAGCACTGTATTAAAAATATTAGCATAGTGGAGAATATTTCTGCAAGAAAATAGGCTAAAACAACAATGGGCTGGGAGAATTATCAAGGTCTATGTATGACATTTCTTACGAATAAAACTTTACTCTTCTCGCTATCTTGAAACATTTTAAATAGAACAGAAACCATTCAGAATAGTACACAAAAAGTCATGGAACAGGTTCTTCCTGCACTAAGTTATATTCACTTGGGTGGTCGAGTTTTAAGTTGTTTATTTTTCTGCCATCACTATTTACCTTTGAATTAAAAAAGAAAGTGAAAGCATGCACCCAGAAGCTGAAGTGCTCTCATTACCATCCTCGCAAGCCTGTTTGTGCTGTCAACCGAGTTCTTGGGCTTGGAATGAGCTGCTTACATTAAAATTTCATGATTAATCCATTTTTGTTGTTGTTGGTCGTCAAGTCATGTCTGCCCCATGGCCAACATTCCTCCAGGCCTTCCTGTCCTCCACCATCCCCCGGAGTCCACTCAAGCTCACACCAGCTGCTTCAGTGACTCCATCCAGCCACCTCATTCTATCCATACTGTCTGTCTATTTCATTCCTATCAGTAGGCCCTGAAGTCTGGTCTTTTACAAAATACTATCTGGTATTCAGGGAGAATCACCTGTTTTAATTAACAGCCATTCCTAAAATCGCTATTCTGCATATCCGTGTGTGTAAACAAGCGAACAAAAAAATAAGTAAGGTTTCTATGATTTGCTGCAGCAGAAAGTAAAAACTCTTGCAGTTGTACATCTATTAGAACACCTCTGTCTGGTGATTCTGCCTTTCATGTTTTTAAACACCTATTTCTCTCATTTGCACTGTACATTTTTAGGTGTTAAGGTTAAAAAAAATGTAATCTACAAATGTGATATGTGAAGTTGCCACCTTAGTTTTTCTTTCCTTTATGAGGGACATATAGAATGATTATTTGGTTGTAGCATCCCTCAAAATTCTGTTGTGAGGCTGCTTTGATTGATGTTTCCTTTCCAGATTCTTTATAAGGCATGTGCTTTTTCCCGCTACACTTCTGAAGAGACAGGTATTCATTTTGCTTGTTTGCTGACTTAGCTTACAGGACTCCCAAAAGCAAGAGAAAGAGAGCATGCCATGCACATTAGAGTTAACCAGTCAAGTTTTCAAAGGGAAAAGGCTATTTTAAGGGTGGCTTTCAAACCTACAGGTTGGAAATACTGTATACACAGCGGAAGTCAGAGGCTCAGGATGTGCTTCCATTAAGCAATATAACATGGGATGTGAACGAACAGGTACTTTAATATGTATGTGCTTGCATCTCAACGTGGTATGTTATACAGGGCAATGTAGATAAAGTTGCAGGATCACTTTCCTACCTGGCTTAGAACATGAAAAGCTTATACAATTAATACAAACAAGGTAAAAATCAGATAAAGGATTAAAATTATATAACTGCCAAAATTAAAACAGCAATGGAAGCAATAAATATAATAAAAACAATACAAATAACAAACTATTCCAAGGTAGTCTTACAGGTCCAGACTATTTCCCAAGGCCTACTAGAACAGAAAAGTTTGTAATTTTAGTTCCTTTATTATCTAACTATTTCTCACTCCACAGCATTGCTTTTTAACTTGATTGTCTTGTGCTTATAGTTGCTTTAGTACCTCTTATGGAATTAGCTGTATTCTGTTGTTATATTAAATTTAATTGTTTTTATTTTTTTTAATT